CAGCAGGTGCAAGTGGAGGAATGGGGGAATCAAACCCAGTTCTCCCAGATTAGAGTCCGCACACTTAACCACTACACCCCTGTTTCATACATTTATCCAATCCCCTATGCTTGTAGCCACACCACCACCTCCTGCGGCAGTGAGTTTCACATGTTAATTACTCTTTGGGTGAATGAGACCATCAGTCCATCAAAGTCAGCACTGTCTAGTCAGACTGGCAGTGGCTCTCCAAGGTCTCAAGCAGAGGTCGTCCACATCACCTACTGCCTGGGTCTATTTTAACTGGAGACGCCAGGGACTGAACCTGAGGCCTTCTGCGTGCAAAGCAGATGCTCTGCCAGTGAGCCACGACCCCTCCCTGCAACCTCCAGGGATGCAACCATTTCAGAGTCAGACAGAAGCCGCCTACAGAGCCAGGCCGTTGGTTCATCTAGTTTAGTATCGTTCCCTCTGGCAATGTCGTACACACAATTCCCGAGCAAGTGAAATTGCCTTCTACCAAGTCAGCTCCACTTCTACACTGAGCTTTGTAGTGTCTGCTTTGCCTGACAGCAGCTCTCCCAAATATTATGCAGAGGTCTTCCCTAGCCTTGAGATGCTGACAATTGAACCCAGGACCTTAAGCATGCGAAGCAGATGCTCTCACACTGATTAGGTTGAATCCCACACAGGATTTCGGGGGGGGGGGGCATTTTTGCTGATTCCCACCTCGGACTGTGGACATCCACCTCACCCCCCCCACCCCGCCGCAGCTGTCCCTGGGGGTCCCCTGTCCACCAGGAGCAGCATTTCGGGCTGAAGAGGGAATGAAATCCCACGCCATGGACGGAAATCTCTTCCAGTAGCAGAAATCCTTCAGAGCCTCCAAACCTGCGCTTTTAATCCTACTCTCCCTTCAAGGAGCTCTGTGTGGTGTACACGGTTCCCCCTTCCCCACCAATCCTGCAATGTGGGTCAGGCTGAGGGAGAACAACCGGCCCAAAGTTCTACTGCAAGCCTCATGTCAGGATGGGGAGTTGCACTGATGTCCCCCCCCCAGATCCTAACCACTACACCACACTGTCTGATGTATGTAAAAGTGCAGCAAATTCCTGCTTTTTCCTGCTGAGATCTCTAAAGCCACAGGGGTTTCTGGATAAGATCTGTTGCAGAGGGGGAAGATCCGGGTACTTTGAACAGCTCTCCTCAGGACACTGCAGAATGATGCCAAAGATGAAAAAATCATGGACATTCGCTTAAGTAGACTATAATATAAGAAGGTTGCAGAATGCAACAGTCCTTGTTGTGGTCATTCAGATTACCATGCACAGAGCTATATATCTTAGTGTAACAAACACACCTGCATGCACAAACAGACGCGCGCGCACATCCCGCCCAGATGATTACCTCTTTGTCTGCTCCCGTTTCTCTTCTTCACTCAGAGGGCGCCGGTTATCTTCCTCAGCTAACTCCTCTAACGTTGGATCTACGGAGAGAAAAGTCTCTTATTATCCTCTGACCCACGGAAGGGGAAAGCTGAGTGTTCGGGGAGAGAGACCAGGGAACAAAATCTTCATTATTTGACAAGAATTATTCCTGTCAGCTTTCTTCATTGTCCAACTTTCACACCATACATTGAGATGGGGAATGCTACAGCATGAATCGTCTTGAATGCCTTTCTTTGTAACACCAACTCTTCTGTTGCTTGTAACTGGGTCCACACCTCACCAAACACCTCAAAGGTGTTGCTTGAAACTGTGCTTGAAAACTGTACCTCTCCTCTCCTCATTCTGACCTTTAACCTCTGCCTCTCCTTCCCTGAATGTAGACAGTTGCCTTAGACAGAGTCGGTCCACTGGTCCATGCAGCTCAGCATTGGGCAGCAGCTCTCCAGGATCTCAGGCAGGGGAAAGTCTCCTGCAGCTACCTGTTGCCTGAGACCCTTCTATGTATGAGATGCCAGGAAACAAAATCTGGGGACTCCTGCAGACATGCAAAGCAAGTGGCTGTAATCACTGGCTGCAGGCCCTTCCGTAGAGTAACTAGAGAATACCCCAGTTCACAACCCTGCTCTGTCACCAGTCAATGGTACATCTAGCTCAAGGTACTCTTCTCTGGGCCCCGTACAAAGAAAGGGATTCCCTAAACCTGCTCCTGGAGATGCTGTAACTAGACCCCCTTTCCTTTAGTGTCCTCTTTCCTTTTCCTGCTGCCTCTTTAGATTGTAAGCCTCTAAAGCCAGGGGTCCCCAAAATCGTGCCTGTGGGCACCATGGCACCCACAGACACCTTTCCTGGTGCCCGTCAAAGGTTTTTGGAAAGTGTGTATGGCCAGGTGGGGCTGCTGCCCAGCAGATCTTATAGTTAGTATTGGGGGTCTGATTGGCTGAGCAGATTAAAATAACATGGTTTCAGCACAAGCTGCCACCATATAGTGTTTTGTCTTATTCTCTCTCTCTCTCTCTCCTCTTTTACAGTGTATTTTTAAGAATTACTCTTCCTGTTGCATGCATTTGGGTTTTCCTTTTGTGTGTGTGTCTCTTTCTCTGCCACCTGCAGTGGCCATTTTGTGGTTGGCTCCGCCTCCCACAGTGGCCACCATCCTGTGTCAGGACTCCCAAGGTGCCCACAGTCTCAAAAAGATTTGGGACCCCTAAGCAGAGCTTATCTCTTTTTAATATATGTTTTGTACGGTGTTTAGCTAACTTGATAAGTAACCTATATTAAGGGTAGTGAGATTTTTCTTTAAGATGAACCAGGCCTGAGATAGTGAGGGAGAAGGTTCAGAAAGAAACAGAAGCAGTAACATGACAGATTTGTGGGGTCTGGCTTAGTACTGACTTCCTCCTGCAAAATTCTGTGAGCCTCTGCATTTGTTTTAACAGGCAGAAGGTTTCCAAGAACTACCTGTAGTAGCGAAAGTCTCAGTTTAAGAATCCTCAGAATCTTGCTGCCTGACTGTAGGCAATGCCACTAGAGTTTCTCGCAACTGGGCACCAAATCTTCCTTAGTCAGCTTGAAGATCTGTTCTTTGATGCCAACAGGAGTTCATTTTTGCCATATCAGCATACGGACGTAAAGCCGTTTTAATTTGCTTTAAATCCTTTTTTTCTTTTTGCCATCAAGTCACAGTTGACTTATGTCAGCCCCATTGGGGTTTTCAAGGCAAGAGATGTTCAGAGGTGGTTTGCCACTGCCTGCCTCCATGTCATGATCCTGGTATTCCTTGGAGGTCTCCCCTCCAAATAGTAGCCAGGGCTGACCCTGCTTAGCGTCTGAGATCTGACCAGCCTGGGCTATCCAGGTCGGGGCAGTTTAAATCTAGAGGTGCTTTATGTGCAATACTGAGATATAAAGAGATGTGAGGAAATTAATTGACAATTATACACGCGTATTTTAAAAAAAGAGACTGTCCAAATTGTACAGGCAACATTTTCTGTTTGCACATTTCTGAAGTCACTGGAAGAGGAGCCCATGACTGCTGTAGCCTAGTTTGAAAGACCAACCATGAATGGTAACCAAATTTACCTCTACACCCTCCGCCCACGGCAGATGCCGGCAAGAACCAAGCTGCGGTAATGGCGACTCTCTGCTGACGTTACCACAGACCAGTCCTCCCACCTCAGCACATCCCAATTTGCTCTGACCTGTTCCACCTTCTACCACCTCAGGCGTCCTTCCCTCAGGAGGCTCCTCGGGGCTCAGCACATGGCCCTGGGGTGGTACGTATGGATCGTCTAGGTCAGGGTCGTTCTCATGTTCCATCAGCCTGGAGGGAACAGAGGCGCACCGGTCAGGGGACGAAAAAGGAGGAGGAGTATGTAAGACAGAAAAACCACGCCCAGATGACTCACCAATCCATCGCGGGTTCAATGCCCTGGTTCCCCGTCAGGGCCAGTGCCTTCTCTCTGAAAGGGACAGCAAAAACACATTTGGACTGGGGTTCATGGCTCCCTTGAGAAAAGCTGGCAATGCACACGTGCAAGCCCGTTCCACCTCTCCACTTTCCCAGTGACGGATGCAGAGAACTCCGTACCCATTAAAAAGCTGCAGAATCTCCCCCTCTGCTTCCCTCACTGCTTTCTGCAGACCCAGTCGTGTGCTCAAGCACAGAGAGACAGCAGGGAAACCTTCCTGCACAGACACACAAACTCTCTCCCATGTGCCTTCCTGAATTAAGCTTCGGATGCTGAGCTTCACTTCCAGCCCCCCAGGATCATGGAAGCATTTTGAAAAGGGCTGCCTTTCCCCTGCCTTGATTCCCACCCCCTTCATATTTAATCTATCAAATCTGTATCCCACCCTTCGCAGAGATAGAGACGTACGCTCTGTTATGGGGGAAGCCCATCTCGATGAGGCTCTCCAGGGCCGTGCACTCCATCACGAACTGCTGCAGGAAGCTCTGTCAAAAGAAAACAGCAGAAACCCCGGGGCTGACTGCAGGTCTCAGCCACAGAGCGTTGCCCACCCGTCCCTTGGGCCCCTTCCAAATTCAGGACTGTTTTACATTGTTAAGGAATTTTACACGTCTTATAATAGTCTTTAAGTTACGAGCCTATGTTGGTTTGCCAAATTTTAGAACGTTGTGTTCCTGCCTGAGTCCCCCCCACTGTGGATCTGCTTCTTTTTGACCTCTGTTCCCTTAGCAACTATCTCAGTCAAGGGCTGGTGTCATGTTATCTCTCAGAAAAGAGTTTCGTGGTTTTTCTTTTTGGAATGTAGCATGTATTCTGAACAGAGGTTAGAGAGAAAATTATGATTGGGAACAGAATTGATGAACTCTCTTTGAAATCCTACACCCTGACCTTTTACCTACTGTGTCCTATTAAGGAAGGATTCAGTATCTTGTTCACTGGGTTTGCATGATCTGCTCTTGCAGGCAACCGGGACAATCCTCCTTAATAAAGACTGTATGCTCCGTTAGCCAAAAGCCTTGATTGTTTCTCCCCTAGACATGGTTTTGGAAAGGGGGAGGGCTGCCTGTTGTAGGCTCTCCCATAACATATATAAAGTATAAAAGGCGGATAAAGAGAACTTTCCCTCCCCCTTTCCTATAATACTAGAACTCAGGAACACTCACTGAGGCTGATAAGAGGAAGATTACAGATAGAAAAAGGAAGTGCTTCTCCACTCAGGAAAAAAAATGACTGGCAACTGGAAGTTGCTGCCATAGAATGAATGACATTAGCCATTATGACTAAATGAAACCTAAATAGAGAAACAGGATGGTGAAGTGGTAAGAATGCTGGACTAGGATCTGGGAGGCCCAGGTTCGAATCCCCACTCCGCTGCAGAAGCATGCTGGGTGACCTTGAGCCAATTACACACTTTTAGCCTAACCTCCCCTCATAGGGCTGTTGTGAGGATGAAATGGAGGAGACGAGAACAATATATGTCACTCTGGGTCTCCACTGGGGAGAAACATGAGGTACCAATGAAGTCAACAAATCATAATAAAATTTTCATGTTCAGAGGCAGTAACTCTCTGAATACCAATATGCGTGGGGGGGGGGCAACAACAGAGAGCGCTTTGACTTCCATGCCCTGTTGTGGTCCTTCTGGGCACATCTGGTAAGCTGCTAGGTTAAACTAGATGCTGGGCTAGATAGACCATAGGTCTGATCCAGTGGAGCAGAGTTTGTGAAGGCAAAGAACCCCCACCTGCTCATTTCTGTATGCCTGAACACTGTTACAGGAGCAAGGATAATAAAATAAAAAGGAGAAAGACCCTGCCCATTTGTGGGCAGGTCCAATTTTTACAAGGAACAAATCCAACTCTCCACATGAAGTTGCATAACGCAGAGTATGGCAATTTGTCTATCAAGGTAAGTCCTGCCTACTCCAACTGGCAGCAGAGTTCTTTTGCCTCACCTGCCACCTAACCCCTTTGACCGGGCCTGAACCTGGGACTTTCTATGTAAGAAGCAAAGGCTCTGCCACTGAGCCTATGCCGCTCCCTATGGACAGCCCTAATTCTTAGATAAGTGCCAACTCATTGCCGGAAAGTCCGCCAAACACGTCCAGTTCCACCCCCTAAGAGATCGACCCAAACACAACCTCCCCCACCCCCCCCGACAGTAAGTCCAATTGACACAGTCAGGTATGGGGCCAATTCCCACCCCCTCAGCTACCCCCCGATTCCCCCCACATTACGCCCCGCTACAGCTTCCCCACGCAGCCTTTACAGAATAAAAATAGAGGGGGGACCCCCTGCATTAAAGCGATCTGCAAAGGAGGGCTGAAGGGGGTCCCTGGGGGCTCCTCCCCCTTCCACAGGGCACTGCCCCCAGGGGAACTAAAGGAAGGACAGGCTTGGTCACGTGGGGAAGACCTCCTTCCCGCCTTTCCTATGGCCACTGAGGGGGGGGGAGAAGGGCGCCCCTCACCCCCCGCTGGGCTCGGCTCCGGAGACTCCCTCCCACAGGCGGCGGCAGCACCGGAAGCGAGTGTTCTGTCGCGCGGCCGCTGTTTGGGTCACCTGAGGAAGTTGCCGGAAAGATCAACGGTGGCCGTTGAGGGACAGAAAGATGCGTGAGCGGAGCGACGGGAGCTTCGCCTTAAAGGCACAGGAACGAACCTGCTCTTTCCTGCTCTTCGATCCCAGTCTTCTGTTCGTTCGTTCTTTCAGTCTTTGCTCCCCTGATTTGTTTGTTCTGGACTTGCCAACAGGCTTGGAGAAAATTTTTTCCTGCTCTTTCTTTTGAACCTCTATAGCTTCCCACGCCACGCCAGTCCCATTGCTATTAAATATAGTAATTGTCCCACCAGTGCCTCTCTGGTACCCCCCCCTCAACTGAACACAAGGGTTATCGGAATCCATACACACACACACCCAAATATAAGGACCTAAGAGAAGCCAATGTTAGATCAGGCCAATGGCCCATACAGTCCAACACTGTCACACAGTGGCCAAAAATACCAGGTGCCATCAGGAGGTCCAGCAGTGGGGCCAGGACACTAGAAGCCCTCCCACTGTTGCCCCCCCTCCCAGCACCAAGAATACGGAGCATCACTTGCCCCAGACCAAGAGTTCCTATCTATACCTTGTGGCTAATAGCTACTGTTGGACCTGCTCCATACCTTTGTCCAATTTCCTCTTGAAGCCGTCCATCACCGCCTCCTGTGGCAGTGAATTCTATGTGTTAATCACTCTTTGGGAGAAGAAATACTTCCTTTTATTCCTTCTAACCCGACTGCTCAGCAATTTCATTGAGTGCCCATGAATTCTTGTATTGTGAGAAAGGGAGAAAAGTACTTCTATCTCGATCTGCTCTATCCCTTGCATAATCTTGTAAACCTCTATCATGTGACCCCTCAGTCGTCATTTCTCCAAGCTAAAGACCCCCAAGTGCCTTAACCTTTCTTCATAGGAAAAGTGTTCCAAACCTTTTTATCATTCTAGTTGCCCTTTTCTGCACTTTTTCCAGTGCTATAATATCCTTTTTGAGGTGTGGTGACCAGAATTGCACACAGTATTCCAAATGTGGTCGCACCATCGATTTAGTCAGGGACATTATGATACTAACTGATTTGTTCTTAATTCCTTTCCTAATAATCCCGAGGATAGCGTTGGCCTTGTTTACTGTAGTCGCACACTGTCTTGACATTTTCAGTGAGCTATCTACTATGACTCCAAGATATCTCTCTTGGTCAGTCTCCACCAGTTTGGACCCCATCAACATATATTTATAGTTAGGATTTTTGGCTCCAATGTGCATCACTTTCCACCTGGCTATGTTGAACCCCATTTGCCATGTTGACGCCCACTCGCCCATCCTCAACAGGTCCCTTTGGAGTGCCTCACAATCCTCCCTGGTTCTCACCACCCTGAACAATTTAGTGTCATCCGCAAATTTAGCCACTTAAGAACATAAGAGATGCCAATGTTGGATCAGGCCAAAGGCCCATCCAGTCCAACACTCTGTGTCACACAGTGGCCAAAAATAGCAGGTGCCATCAGGAGGTCCAGCAGTGGGCCCAGGACATTAGAAGCCATCCCACTGTTGCCCCCCCCCAAGCACCAAGAAGACAGAGCATCACTTGCCCCAGAGCCCCTATCTATACCTTGTGGCTAATAGCCACTGATGGACCTCTGCTCCATATGCCTATCTAATTCCCTTTTGAAGCCGTCCATGCTTGTAGCCGCCACCACCTCCTGTTGTCTATCATTTAAGTTGTCTATCAGTTGTAAGACACTCGTCACTTCAGTCTGACTCAGGTCTTTCAACACCCCTCCTGAAATAAGTGGTTCTAGAGTGGGCAAGCAGTCTTCTCATCTTCCACAGTGAAGACAGCAATTTCCCGGGAGTTGGCAACCCAGTGGCACCCCAGCATAGAATGATCCCAGCCTTCCTCCCCTCTTCCTCCACAGCTGCCTTAATCTAATTAATGAAGATAATTTAATTAGTTCTGTTAATTAACTTAGTTCCCCCCCCCGGAAAAATACCCAGTTACAGGGCCTGTATATCACTCACTCTACCATCATGCTGGCTGAATTTTTTGCATGGAGCAGGGCCCCACAATGCCTGTTACTGGCTGTGATTGGAAGAAATATTAAGGTTTAAACCAGGGGTGTCAAACTCATTTTGTTTCGAGGGCCGGACCTGACATAAATTTCAGTTTATCAGGCTGGGCCATGTGTGTCATAAAATATAATTCCAGGTACTGGAGATATAAACTTTATAAAAGACACAGGGAAACCTGATTAAGCAATTGATTTCTAAAAGCCTGGCTCTCCCAGATCTCTCCCCCCCCCCAGTTCTCATTCCTCCTGCATTTCCCATAGAAGCAGAGGGGTGCAGGGGAAGGCCTGATATCCTGTTTCCAAAACCTCCAGGGGTTGTTTTTTCTCCTCTTGCAACCCCTTTTCTTTCATGGGTTGAGAACAGCACCAGTTGCTCACGCGCCGGATCAGAGCCCTGGACAGGCCGGTTCCGGCCCAAGGGCCGTGTGTTTGACACCCCTGGTTTAAACTGAGCAAAAGTTGACAGACCGATGTACTAGTTTTCGCCCCCCCCCCCCCATCTCAAAAGAGAATGTTACGGACTTGTGCAGAATGACTCTTCAGCCTATGGCTGGATCTTGCACATCTGGAATACAGGGTTGCCAACCTGCAGGTGTGGAAACTTGAGCTGCAGTGTTAGAAGAGTCAAACAACAAATATATACACTGCAAAAACCTTATTTATAAGTTAAAGTGTTCTATATGTTCCATCTTATAAAGTGCATTGTGCATTAGAATATTCATAATATTCTTAAACAGGTATATATTCATTATACATGCAATATCAACAATAATAATCAGTTTGTATAATCTAATAGCTACCAGTCAATTTACATCCTTTTTACACAATCAACCCCAATGGGAGTTTCTAGAATCGTACACCCGCTTCTCCTTGCTTGAAAGTCTTGGGAAAGACAGGAAAGACAGGAGCGCTCCGTCTATGATTGTCAGCTGCTTAATGGGCCTTTGTAGGACCAGCAACAAACAATGTAACCACAAAAGGAAACTTCCCCCTTTAGAAGACTTTCAAGCAAGGACTCCCCCCGCTATTACAAAGGTAGGACTTGGCAACCTTATACATCCTGCATCCATGGGCGTAGAAAACCCTTTCCCAGAAACTGACAATTTTAATTCTATTTCCTATACTATATAGAATCGCAGTGATGGATCACAGGAACTTTTTCATACAAAGGGCCACCATATCTGGGTCTCCATCTGCTTTTGTTGTAGGCAGAGTGTGGATATTCGCTAAAGTGGAGCACAAGCTGTTTAGAGAATTAAGTTGGTTTATTAAGAAGAGAACAGACTTTGTAAGAACTAGGAGAGAGAAAAAGAAGTCTAACTGCCTAACTAGCTAGGAGAAAGACAGTAACTAGCAGAAGCTCAGCAGGTACATTGAGCCAATCAGGAAACTGGAGGGAGACTATTTGAAAATAGTAGGAAGTCCCTAATCTCACTATGCTAAATAGTTGTCCCCTCTGCTGCCCCCTGCAGGATGTTCTTGTCATCTTTATCTATGCACGATAGACCTTTCATATTCCATCATTTGAAGTCTCGCCAGCTATGGTTGCCAGGTTCCCCTTGACCATCAGCAGGGGTTGGGTTGACAGTTCTAGGTTGGGAAACTCCTGGAAATTTGGGGATGGGTCTTGGGAAGGACAGGGACCTCAGTGTGGTACAGAGCCATGGAGTCCACCCTCCAAAGCATCTATTTTCTTCAGGGGAACCTGGAGGCTGGCATTCCTAATGCCAGCAGTCGCTGTTCCCACACACACACACACACACACAGAGAGAGAGAGAGAGAGAGAGAGAGAGAGAGAGAGAGAGAGATTGGCAACATAGATGCCAACTCCAGCTTGGGAAATTCCTGGAGATTTTGGGGTGGAGCCTGGGGAAGGTGGAGTTTATGGAGGGGAGGTAGCTTTATGGGGATGTGATTGCATAGAGTCCACCCTCGGAAGCTGCCATTTGCACCAGGGGACATGGTCTCTGTAGTCTTGAGATCAGTAGTAATTCTGGGAGAACTCCACCTTAGTAAATTGGCTACCACATTAGCCTGCAGATTGCCAGCTCCTCCTCCTCATCTTGATTTATTAATTGCCTTGTCCTGGCTTACACCGAGCTCTGGGCAATGTACAAAAGGCAAAATACCTGAAAAGCTCCAGCCCCTGCCTAGCGATCGTATCAAGACCCCTTAGCTGGTCTTGGGAAGGGCCAGGCTTGCAATCATCACCTTGGTCTACAGACTGCCAGCTATTCACATTTTTGTCTCAGCAGGTCTTTGTTTGCTGTGCAGTATTTTAGCAGCAGACCAGCTGCCCCTGCAGAGCGTTTTTTTGCAATTACTGAAATAAGATTTTGAAGTGCTGAGTGATATCAAGACAGGACCGGGGGGTTGTTTCGGGTTTGCAGTAAATAGACATAGTAGTGCTGGATGTCTTTTTATTTTAGATTGGCCATATATTTTGTAAGCTGCCTTGAGTCCTGAGTTTCAAGAGAAAGTATCATATAAATATTCTTAATAATAGGGAATCATGGGGATAATAATAATAATAATAATAATAAATAATAATAATAATAATAATAATAATAAACAACTGAATGGCTACACCAAGAAAAGCAAAGAGAAGCTTCTAGTTGAAGTGTACAAGGCAGAGTTATTTAAGGTTACAGAAACCAAAGAAGATTACAACAAAGGTTGCAGTCAAAACTCACTTTGACAACTGGAAGAAAAAGCCTTGCATGGGCAATAGTTGAAAGACAGAGAATAAAGTTAATAACAAACACACCTGGAAGTGGCTCCAAAATGGGCACTTGAAGAAAGAAATGGAAGGACTCATTCTAGCTGCACTTGGAACATATAATATGCAAGCCAAGACTCAGAAGACCAGTGATAACAGCAAATGTCGACTTTGCAAGACAAAGGATGAAACAGTCAACTGGCCTGGTCAGTGCCTGAAGTAAAATTACTCAAAACTGACTGTAAAGTAGGCCATGATAGAGTTGCAGCTATGTTGCACTGGAATCTTTGCAAGAAGTATGGCTTACCATCAGTCAGAAATTCATGGGAACACAAACCAGACATGATCTTGGAGAATGAAGAAACAAAGATTCTTTGGGACTTCAATTACAAACAGACAAACACCTAGAGCATAACACTCCTCAGATGACAATTGTAGGGGGGGAAATGAGAAATAGGGTTTGGATCATTGACAGTGTAATCCCAGGGGGCAGCAGAGTAGAAAAGAAAGAACAGGAGAAGATTACGAAATACCAAGACTTATGAATACAGTTAGAGCGCCTCTGGGAGAAAAAGGTGATCATCTTGTCAGTTGCCGTTGGAGCCCTTGGAGCAGTGCCTAGAAGTCTCAGGAAACACCTGGACACTCTGGGCACTGAGCAAATAACACCAGCTCAGCTCCAGAAGACAGTGTTGCTTGCAACAGCATGAATCCTACAAAGATACCTCTGCAATTCCCAATCATTTGACTAGATCTCGAATTGCATCTACCCGTCAAATGTCTGACTGTGCCAATTCACAATAATAATAATGGTGTACTGTCGAGTTACAACTGACTCATGGCAACCCAGGGCCATGTGTTTTCGAGGCAAGAGATGTTCAGAGATGGGTTGCCATCACATTCGTCGGCATAGCAACCCTCATCTTCCTTGGGGGTCTTCCATCCAAGTAGTGACCATGGCTGACCCTGCTTAGCTATGCTGGGCTAATAAACACACCAGCTACAGTCTGTGGCATTTCTATGCCAAACTCATGTCCCCCAATTAAGCTGGTACAGGCATTCACTAAGCTTGTTGGCTGCTGGACAGTTTGGAGGAAGGGGAGGGCAGCTGCGTGAGTCATAAATGTGCAAACGCTCTTCTCTCTTCCCCCCCTGGATCCACAAGAACAATATTGTACCCTAGTGGAGGGATTTTTCCCCCCCACCCCACCCCACACACTTCTATTTTGTAACAGAGAATCACATGCATGGTTATGATTCCCTTCTGCAGCTGGTAGAAGCCTGGCATGGGGCCAGCAAGAGAGACCGAGACAGGCAGAGAGAGAGAGAGAGAGAGAGAACGGCCTCTTTAAAGGACCCCCGGAGTCTGTGGGGCTGTGTGCACCAGCCATTGGAGTGCAAAACTTCATCCCAGAGCAAAAACTTGGAAGAGGCAGCAGGGCGGAGGCCCCCGAGGAAGGCTAGCGAGCAAGAAAGCTGGCAACTTGCGAGGGCAGGAGCAGGCAGAGTCCAGGCTGAAAGTGGGCACGGGAAAGAGGCAGGTGGAAACTGGAAGAGTACAAGGAGGGAGACTGGGCTGCCAGCTGGTACCCCGAAGCTACACCCCGCGCGTGAAGGAAACAGAGGAGGGTCAGAGCAGAGAAGTGAAAGGGAAGTGGCAGCCAGGACAGGAAGCCAATTGGGCAGAAGAGGAAGGCGCAGATGGCGTTCTGGAGCAGTGTGGGGTCCCTGTGGATTGGGGGCTCAACAGGTTGGACAGCTGGCCAGTTCTGTCTTTCGGTCTCCCTCTTTGTGGTGGAGGTGGTGGCCAGCCGGGCCACCGGGTCTCAGAGCAAACTAACTTATGCAGTAGCCAAATCACTCGCTCACAACTTTCATGCCAGTCGCTCACAAAGTAGAATTTTTGGTCACAAGACTCCACAGCTTAGAGGGAACATTGATGGTCATTATGGCCCCTTCCAACCCTTATGATTCTGTGATCTCCAGATTACAGAAATCATTTGCCCAGAAGAAAATGGCTGCTTTGGAGGGGGCTCTCTATGGCATCCTACTCCACTGAGGTCCTTACCTTCATCAAACCCTCCCCTCCCCAAGATTCGCCTCCAAATCTCCAGGAATTTCCCAGCCCAGAATTGGCAACCCTTAAACTGGCCAATTTATTCTGGAGGTCATTATATTGATTCTGACGCAGTTTATTTATACTGACCCAATTTATCGGCTGTATGAAGTACAGCATCTACCACAGTTATATTGCTTCTGGAAGTTACAAGCAACAAAAAGTAGGTGTTACAAAGAGAAGCAATCCAGATGATCCGTGCCATTGTATTCCCCATTTCAAAGTATGGGTGTGAAAGTTGGACAATGAAGAAAGCTGACAAGAAGAAAGTGGATTCATTTGAAACGTGGTGCTGAAGGAGAGTTTTAGGCATACCGTGGCCCGCTAAAAGGACAAATAAATGGATTCTAGATCAAATCAGGCCTGAACTCTCCCTAGAAGCTAAAATGACTAAACTCTTTCATACATTGGTCACATTACGGGAAGACAAGCATCACTGGAGAAAACAATCATGCTGGGGAGCTTCCCTGACTGTTCCTGGGGTCATTTTAGAACACCAACACACGTATTACATTTGAATTTTCCCTGAACTTTCTTTAAGTTTTTGTCCAAGGGGGCAGTGCCTATCTGTGGGGGGGGCATTGCCCCAAATGCCCCCCATGGCTATGGGCCTGGTATGCTATAGCAAAATTAAAGAGTTCAGTCACACCTTAAAGACCGCCTAGGGCTGTCAACCTCTGGGTGGGGACTGGAGTTCTGGAATTACAAATGATTATGATTTACAAATTACAAACAGCAGCAGGGGATAGGACCCGAAGCAACAGATTTAAATTACATGCAGAAAGGTATCGGCTGGATATTAGGAAAAACATTTTCACCGTCAGGGTAGTTCAAAGGTGGAATCAGCTGCCTAGGGAGGTGGTGAGCTCCCCTTCACTGACAGCTTTTAAGAAGAGGCTGGATGAATATTTGTCAGAGATGCTTTAGGCTGGTCCTGCATTGGGCACGGGGTTGCCATAAGCTGGAAGCAACTTGACAGTACTTCATTCACATATGCATGAATATACCTGCTATGGATGTGATCCCAAGGAAGTGAGCCCTGATTCACAAACACTTATATTGTCGATCTTTATGGTGCCACTGAATTTCTGGAATCTTAGGGCAGGCAGGGAGGAGACAATTGGACCCTGCAATCCAGTAATTCTGAAGCTGCAATCCTTGAAGACACAATTGTTTAAAAAAATAGAAGGAAATGCCACAAAAACCATTATTTGCTTCAGATGCCCACCAAAAAGGCAAGCCTGCTTTCCCCCCCTCCCCCTTCTGAAAAATGGTCTGCTTCTTCAGCATCACAGCTTGGATGATTAGAACTCAGGACTGCCCAATGGAAGTTGATTTGGGGAATCTGCATTTATCTATTTTAAATGCTTTACCTTTCTTTCCTCCCCACATACCCCCAAAAAATGGAGGAGCAAGGCACTTTTTCGCACCATACGTAATTATTACATATACATAATGTATTGTTATCTCTGATTCATGTTTTATGCTCTATGTCTGTGTAATTGATCGTTAACAGACTTTGGCTGCATACCATGAATGCTACTACTAAGTAACTCACAAAATTCACCACCACAAGCTTTGATGGCAACCAGTTAGCTGGAGGAGAGGTCTATGGAGGACCCTGACAGCTAAATGGAACTTCCATGTCCAGAGGCAGCATCCCTCTGAGTACAAGATCCCAGGAACAAAGCATAAAGGGAGGTAAATCACATTCACACCTTGCTTATGAGCTTCCCAAAGGCAGCCACTTTCGGCAGCAAAGTGCTAGACTGGATGGACCTTAGATATGATCTTACAAGGCTGTTCTTATGTGCCTTGTTCTTCTGTATTCATTTCTGAGACTGATTGTGGTAGCTCCTACGATTATGGAACAACCTCCCCAGGGAGGTGCACCTAGGGTTACCAAGTACATGATCCCCGGCCGGAACATTCCTCCCTGTAACACACCCACGCCACACCATGCCATCGCCAGGAAGTGACGCTGGGCGATGCTCTGACAATGGGGCTGGAAACTCGATGGTACCATCGAGTTTCCAGCCCCATTGCCAGAGCGTCACTCGGCGTCACTTCCTGGCGACGGCATGGTGCAGCGCGTCTGTTTTCCCCGCGGGACTGGTCCTGGGAAGAAGTATGTGTCCCCCGCTGAATCACGGTAAGTACTTGGTAAGCCTGGGCGCACCTGCCCCCATCACTTTCGATCTTTAGGAGGCAGCTGGAGACAGTTTTATTTAGAACTGCATTTGATTAAAGCAGTCCAAAGTTGTGATTTTAAAGGTTTTTCATGTGTTGTTTTTTTTTGCATAATCTATTTTTAAGCCTGCTAAGTTCCCAGTCAGGGTGGGTAATCCTCTGTTTTTGCGGGCTCCAGCCTGCCCCAAAGCGATGTTGGTAACATGCTGACGTCACTTCAGGAAGTGATGTCATCACGTCAGGGGCAATGCTCTACATTTGGGGCAAAACTCTATGGTTTGTAGCCGTTTTTACCATAGAGTTTTGCCCAAAAAGTAGAGTGTCACCCCAACGACACCAATGCGATGATGTGACCTCCGGAAGTTATGTCAGTGCATCACCAAGGTCTCCGCCCACCCCTGGAACACCCCCCAAATCCCCCCGCAGGCAGGAGGAAGGCACCTGGCAAAATATTTGGTGTATTTTATTAATATTGTGATCTGCCTCGAGCTCCATGTGAAAGAAAGACAGCTAAGAAATATTTTTAATAAATAAACTCCTCCTCCATTTCAGTTTTCTTGTTCTCCCTCCTCTACAGATCTTCTGGGAAATGAATCCTCCTCCAAGAGCTGGGTCTGGCTAGAGGAACCCTCAGACTCCGGCCTCGTGTCACCTGTGGACAACTCTGGACTGTGGCGAGCCCTGTGTTTTGACTGGATGGTGCCCTGCTTGGGACCTGCAGCTGTCCTTTTGTCTTCGCTCACTCTTCACGTCCTGTGGACTCCGTGTCTGGGTCACGCGTCCTGCTTCGGGCACTGCACCAGACGCCCATGTTGGGCCTGGCCCGTCTCTGAGCCATTGCCAGACACGCGGGTCCCTTGCTGGCTGCTCTACCTGGACCCTGGGCTGGCCGTGGCTGTGTCTGTGGCCCTGCCGCTCTGGCTGTGGCCGGCCTTCCGTGGCTCCGCCATGGTGCTCCTGCAGGCCGTTCCAGAGGACCTGGACTTGCAGCTGCTGGAGCTGCGGCTGCGCGCCACGGAAGGCGTGGCGGCTGTGCGGGAGCTCCACATTTGGCAGCTGGATGGCCCGGGCAGTTTGGTGGCCACGGCGCAGGTATACTGCTTCGACGATGCCACCTTTGAGGCTGTGGTGGAGCGAGTCCAGCGGGTCTTCTGCGAGCATGGCATCCACATGGCCACCGTTCAACCTGAGCTCAGCACTTGCCAGGGTGGGGAATGCCACAGAGGGGGCGGCCAGCCCCCGCGCAAGCGGTGCCTGGCCCCCAGCCCTAAGGTCATGATGGAGTATGAGACCACAGTTTGAGTAGGATAGATGGACCCTTGGAGGGCAGGTAGGAAAGTGACGCAGACAGTTCTACAGTGCCACAGCTGCCTGCCTCTTAAATAGGGTTACCAACTTTGAGCTGGAGCCTGGAGTTCTTCTAGAATTACAACTGATCCCCGGACTACAGTGATCAGATCCCCTGGAGGGCATGGCAGCTTCAGATACCATAGAGTCTAGGAGGAACAGAAGTCCTGTCGCGAGATCACATCCCCGCTGAGCCACCCCAGCAGTGCGCTACCCCCAGATCTCCTGGGATTTCCCCAAGGTGGAGTTGTCACCCCAACGTCTTGTGTCCTGCCTCCAAAGGTCTGCTACGGAGGCCCCACGTCCTAGCTGGATGCTGCCCTGGACCACAAGAGAATTGCCAGAAGAGGAGACCTGTCCACACCACCGTGAGCTGAGAGACCTTTAAGGCCGGGAAGAACGGCCCACAGGTATACAGCGAAAGATGTCTACACCCACGATAGTACTTAATTTTGCGTGGACGCTACAATTCTGTGCGAGCACAAAAAGTAGAGATTCAAGTCTTGGCCACACAGTTCATAACTGAGATTTTTCTTCACTGAAAATGGACTTCAAAGTGTGTGAGCAATACCTGAGGAAGTCTTCGGAATCTCAGGAAATCTTAGAACCTGGCAAGAAGGAGCCTGAAGGACATCTTGTCTTTCCTCAGGATTACCAAGCGCAGAATAAATGCTACAGAGGCTTTAGTCTTCCACTGTTATTTCACATACCCTCCAGTAATTAGTACTTAGAAGTATTGGTATTTAGACGACTGAGGTCCCTGCCACACGGCAGGAAAAAAACCGGGCAAAGTGCGGCTTTTAAAAGCCGCACCAAAATAGAGACGCCGCGGCGGTATCCCACGGATCCCCTGAGCCGCGGCGCCGTTGCTCCCCGGCACGATCAGATGCCGGGGAGGAAGCGACAGTCGGGAGCGGGAGGCTGCCGAACTGCGCATGTCTGAGCATGCGCAGTTCGGCCAGGAGCCGGGGATGCGCTGGCGGAAGGACGCGCCGGCGATCCCACGGCCGGCCTTGATGCACCCTTT